CTCAAAGCCCGCCTCCACAGAGACATACTTCCTCCAACAAGGTCATATCCACTCCAAAGCCACACCTCCTAATAATGCCACACCCTATGAGCTTAGGGGGGCAGTTACCTTCAAACTACCACAGCTCTTAACCACTGAGCCATCACTCCAACCTCCCAGTTGTTTTTCAGCCTCCCAATATTTATTTTTAATATGTTTCCATTTTGATTGAGGTCTTTTATAGAATTTGTCATGTATGTTATCATCTTGATGCTTAGAAAGTTTAGGTTTTTTGCAGCATGGTAAATTTTAGACTTTTAGATTATGGATACTCAAAAATATGTGTCTAAGAGATAAGTGGTTTATGTAATTATACCACATTCTTCAATGTAGGGCAAAGGAGCAAAAAAGGGGGAAGGATGTAGGACCTACCTTTTGCTCAGTATACTTTGGCTGAAGAAATAACAGTACAGAATTAGGTGTTAAATTTTCTCTTTCCCAGAAGTGTGTTCACTTAGTAGTTTTTATAGTTTTATTTAGCAAGATTAGTAGCTACTTAGGAAAAGGATAATTTTTATTTACCATGGCATTTACAGTGATTTAAAGCCTTAGGTAGCTAATAATTATATTGGTTGCTTAAGTCACACTGATAAACATACATTGGGGACTTGAATTTTTTAATTACATTTGTTTGTGTATGTGTGTGTGTGTGTATGCACATATGCTCATGTTCTCTCATGAATGTCTGTGAGAATGTATGAAGCTGGGCTGTGGTGGCTCATGCCTTTAATTCCAGCATTCAGGGGGCAGATGAAGTCGGATCCCTGAGAATGTATGTGCATGTCTGTGGAGGTCAGAAGAGTTAGTTCTTTCTCTGTACCATGTGGGTCCTGGGGATCAAAATCAGATCATCAGGCTTAAAAGCAGTGCCTTTAACTGGTGAGCCATTTCCCTGGCCATTTGTAATATTGTGAGTCTAATTAGTTCTACCTGTTAGAATTTGACTGGATGTCAGCATTTAGTTGCAGTTTTCAGATCTCATTTAAAAAAAAAAAAAAACAATGCCCTGAGAATATTGGGATAGGAATTATTCATGCTCCTATAATTAAGGGTCCTTTATTTGATTTGATTATCTTCCTATATTAATGAAATGCACTAATTTATAGAATTACTTGGCATTAACATAACTGACCAAAGCATTTCGTTTGCCTTATGTGACGCCAATAATTTCCTTCTACGTAACATTTTAGTTAATATTTCCAACTTCATTTTAGGATCATTTCTGGAATGAAAAGGATTATGGTTTTTAAAGATTTGCTTTTATTTTATGTATGTGAGTGTTTTGCTTGAATGTTATGTATGCACTACATTTGTGCCTGGTGCCTGCAGAGAAGAGAGTGTAAGATCCACTGACTGGAATAACAGATAATTGTGAGCTGCCATGTGGCTGCTGAGAACTAAGCATCAAGTGCTCTTAACTACTGAGCCATCTCTCCAGTCCCATCTCATTTGTATGTATGTATATACGTACTGTAGGTTGAGCTTGGGCTTTACACATGCAAGGTAAGCATGTGCCCGTAGATGGATTTTTCTTTGGGCCGCCAGCTCACAAAAATTGACATGGAGTCTTATTAATTATGAAAACTTGGTCATAGCTTAGGCTTTTTTCTAACTAGCTCTTATAATTTAAATTAACTCATATTTTTAATTCTATGTTCTTTTACATGGGCTCAGTTACCTTTACTCTGTATTGCCCATCTTGCTTCCTCTCCATGTGGCTGGCAACTCCGCCTCTCTTCTTCCCAGTGCTCTCTCTATCCAGAAGTCCCTGCTATACCTCTTGCCTAAGCTTTTGGCCGTTTTAGCTTTTTATTAAGCTAATCACAGTGACACATCTTAACACAGTGTAAAGGAATATTCCACAACACCTGCCACTGAGCTATATCCCAGTCTTCCTTAGAATATGTGTATTGTTAGACAGTAGACTTCTTTTGGTTCTTTATGAAAATTCTATTAGGGTGAATTTCTCTTGTAACAAAGGTCACTCTAGCATTTGATACATTGTTTCATTAATGAGAACATTTCTGTTTTCTTTACAGATGAGTGCCAAACCAAATATGGAAATGCTAATGCCTGGAGATATTGTACCAAAGTTTTTGACATGCTCACAGTAGCAGCTGTAAGTTTGTATGAATCTCCTTAGAACCTCAAGTATTTTTCTTGCCAATAACATTACTTACATATTTTTATCAGTTGTAGCCATTTATTTAGTTTTAGTATTTATTGTTGAATTTAGACATGACTGAGTTTATTATCCTTTGTTTCTCTTTTTTGGTAGTTAATAGATGAACAAATTTTGTGTGTTCATGGCGGCTTATCTCCTGATATCAAAACACTGGATCAAATTCGAACCATTGAACGAAATCAGGAAATTCCTCACAAAGGAGCATTTTGTGACCTGGTGTGGTCAGATCCTGAAGATGTAGACACTTGGGCAATCAGTCCCAGAGGAGCAGGTTGGCTTTTTGGAGCAAAAGTCACAAATGAGGTAAAGCTTACATTTTTGGAAAAGTAGTTCTTTGATTGATAAAAGAATAATGATGATCTCAGATATTAAACTTACAGCATAATTTACTAAAATTATTGTTGCTATGTGTATCAGATTTCTACTGTAGTTGATTAAATTATGCTTCCTGAATGGTTCAGTGAGATTTTATAGTGAAAGCACCTATTCCAGCATTATCTGCTGATATTATTAAAATAATAGTTAAGTAACAGGATCGCCAGAGCAAAATAGGCAACTTTTTTGTTTGTTCGTTTTTAATGGCAGATATTTATCCTGAAACATACATATATTTTGACAGTCTTCTAATCCCAGTTGATTTCACATTTTATTTTACTTACTTTTTGGGTTTTTGAGACAGGGTTTCTCTATGTAGTTTTGGTGCCTGTCCTGGATCTTGCTCTGTAGACCAGGCTGGCCTTGAACTCACAGAGATCCACCTGGCTCTGCCTCCTGAGTGCTGGGATTAAAAGCATGCACTACCACCACCCAGTTTTACTTTTTGTTTAAATGAAATTTTTAACTGTTTTGTTTTGTTTTGTTTTGTTTTGTTTGAGACAGGATCTATATAACTCTTAGTTGTCCTGGAACTCACTATATAGACAAGGCTGGCCTTGAACTCACCTGTCTCTGCCTTCCCAGTGCTGGGATTAAAGGTGTGCTATACTACTCTGTATGGCATAACCTTTATATTTTACTCTATGTCTGTGTACCATGTGCATGAAGTGCCTGCAGAGGCCAGAAGAAGGTGTTAGATCCCCTGGGACTGGAGTTACAGGTGGTTTTGAACTGCTATGTGGTGGTTGGGAATCAAACTCCTATCCTGTGGGAAAGCAGCCAGTACTCTTAACCACTAAACCATCTCTCCAGCCTGAATTCAAAATGTAAAGTAACATACATGAGCTAAGAGAATTCAATATTGTTCCATGGCACTTACTGAAAGACTAGATGAAAACAAGAACCATTAGGATGAACAATTAGACAGTAATAATATAAAAATAACTTCTTACTTACAATTTACAAAACATAATTATAGTCTTCGATCTCTGATAATCTGCAGTGCTGGATGCATGAATACAATTTTAAAATTCAGAAACTATTTACTATAAATCTTCAGGGCAAATAATTTACAAATAAGATACAACCAGAAATTCTGACATCTGCTGCTGCTATTTTATGACTTCAGCTTTATCAAATTATGTACCTACTTGCCCTATACGTATACAAAATAATGGATACATCAAAGCATCCATGAACAAATATGTGGGCAGATAACATTCACTCACGAAGGGATGATGTTCTGTTGAGATGTGTTCCAACATAATGGAGTCATGGAACTAGGTGCTAGGACCATTGGTTTACCCTCACAGAAAGACTTTACCCAGTCTAAACCCATTCCTTTTCAGGTTACAAAGAAGAATAATCTCTTTGTGGCATATACTAAATCCTCACATAATAAGGCTGATAGTAATTTTATTATTATATCATTAAATAGAAATCCTTTGTTTTGTATCTGGTGGTAATTATGTAATTTCTTTTCCCTCTAGAAACTTTTTTTTTCCTTGATACAGTTGTTACTAGGTGACCCAGGCTGACCTCAAACTCTTGATTCTCCTGACATTTTCTGTAATGTTTATTTGCTTGCTTGCTTGTTTATTTTTCCTATATATATGTTGGAAGGATGTGAAGAGTTCATAGGACAACTTGTAGAAGTCAGTTCTTCCTACCACGTAGGTTCTGGGATCGAATTTTGGTCATCAGGCCTGTTGACAAGCACCTCTACCAACCTAGCAATCTATTATTACTATTACTATTGCTATTACTATTACTATTACTATTTTAAAGATATGCTGTCTCTGTGTTGCAGAGATTGGTCTCAAACTTGTGGACTCAAGTGATCCTCCTACCCAGCCTCCAAGTAACTGAGAGTACAGGTGCTAATTACTATACCTGGCTTGGAAACTTGAAATTATGGGCCATGTACTTCAGAATAGACTTGGGCCAAAGTGTTACTGGAAATTTTGGGGGTGATTATAGAGTGGGATTTAGAATCATGATAACTTAAATAGTGATATTTGCTGCTTGGAATGGTTATTAAGCTGTTGAATGGAATACTCACAAAGCCTTTCTAAATTGCAGTTTGTTCATATCAACAACTTAAAACTCATCTGCAGAGCACATCAGCTTGTGCATGAAGGCTATAAGTTTATGTTTGATGAGAAGCTGGTCACAGTGTGGTCTGCTCCTAACTACTGCTATCGCTGTGGGAACATCGCTTCCATCATGGTCTTCAAAGATGTCAATACAAGAGAACCAAAGTTATTCCGGGCAGTTCCAGATTCAGAACGTGTTATTCCTCCCAGAACCACGACGCCGTATTTCCTCTGAGGCCATTGCCTTCCCACTGGCCCACTTTTGCCCTCTTACACCCCAACTTTCTTGTACCCTCTACAATATACTTTTTATTGAGCACTTTGCTGCTGAAATGCTGCCTCTTGCCTTTTTTTTTTAACTTTAAATTATCTAAATTTATTGTTTGTTATGATGTCAATAGCAGTGTTTTTCTATCAGTTTTGTCATTCATCCCATCCCCACCTTGGACTTGTTTGAGAAGACTCAAGAAATGTCTTAATACTCACATTGCTGCATGTAGCTCTTGCTTATTAGCTGTTCTGGGGAAACAGGAAGCATTTCCTCTTTTAAACAGCCAATTGACAATTACATGGAAATCCTCCTCATTTGTATCAGCCAGCCTTCTGTTTTTGTTTGGTAGGGTTTAAGAAATTTCAGCAGCAAAGTTGTCCAGTGGGCAGGATGGACTGCAGATGCCTGAGTCATGTACCCTTGTCCCAGCTGTAAACTTCACTGTCCTTTGTTGGATGATGATTTGATGTTTTAAAAGGGTGTAAAATAAATTGGTCTAAAGGGCTGCCCTCCTTGTTGTGTTTTTAAATTTTAGTTAAAAACTGCTACAGCTTATGACTTTGTACATTAAGATAATTGTACTGATCTTTTTTCAGATTTCTTGTATTTTTTAATAAAGTAATCTTAAAACCAGATAGGTTAAGTGTTAGAAATTTTAGACAACTTACATTGTTAGCTGAAAGTTACTTTTCCTTTCTTTCTTTTTCTTTTCTTTTCTTTTTTTTTCTTGTTTTCCTAAGAGTTTTTGACCCTTTGGTTATTGAGTCTAAAATTTTGATTGAAATTCAATATTTATTTTTTTAAAGTATCACTAAATTGTGCCTAGAGAACATAACTGCCATATTAATGTTTTGATTTCTATCCTCTACAGTAGTAGAAAAACATTTAATACTTGTAGTACTGATGTTGATTTGATACCAGTTGAGTAGAATGCTCAATCCAGTTTACACTGTCATGAGTATCATCAAGTAAACGTGTACTTTTCAATAACAAGCATTCTCTCACTGTAACCCTTGACCTTAACTTTTACAAACTATTCAGTTTTTAACTGCAACTTTAAAGGCTGAAAAATCAGAACCCTTGTGTTTGTGAACTGTAATCTGAAGCAGATTATTTAAAGTGTGGAAAAAACCAGACCATTCTCTTGTGAAAGTCTGTTATACCATATTTCAGCTTTGTATGTGTAATTTGACTATCTAAAGGGTTGTGATAATCAGTTCTTGATATGTAATTGTCCACTTAGTAAGGACAAATATATCATTGTCTCTTATGACTGTTGTCATAGATGATTTGGGGATGTACCATCTTGTGAAATTGTTGGTATCCCTTTACGGTGATAATTTTTGTCATCCCAGGAGATCCTTGTGAAGCAATTGATAAAGCACTTTAGCATCTGGTCAGGTAGTTTTAAGGAACAACTTTTCCCCTTCAGGATAAGAACTTCCAGGTTACCTAAAAATGCAATAAAAATCTTAATAGTCTAAGCTTCTTGGCAAATAATCTTTCATCAGGGTTTCTTGTACTGAATGAGCACAATATTTTGATTTTATTTATCCCCAACCACCCAGCTCCTTGTACAGTTTTTAATTGTGTAGCTCTGTGAAAGAAGTGACTGAGACATTTGCTGCACACACTTGAACTAACGGTGGGTCAGTAGCTTTGTGTTACTGTCCTAACCCCAGTGTAATTCAGGTGGAAAGGTATTTTTATCTCACAGGAATATGTAGCTATGTATTTTATTAGTTGTGAAACACTGGAATTAATGATGCAGAAAACTTAGTGTGGTTTTTGAACAGCTCTCTGCAGTATTTTGTTTGTTTTACCATAAATTGTATTTAAGTGCTTGCCCTGCATTGCTTTCAAGTTGTACCAGTAAAATTGGTAACTCTCAGTTCCCTCTCTACTTTACACTCCTTAGCTTAGGTTGATGTGGTTATTTTCATTCTCCTTTAATGTGACTTATTTTCAAGTCATGGTGTACTGCTTTTGTCTGTCACTAGCTGGGCATGTGCCAATAATATTCTGTCCATCCCTTAACTGCCATCTCTGTTTTGCCTGACTTTTCTTCAGCTGAATAATGACTTTGAGGCATGGAAAAAGTAGTTTTTACTATTAGACTTGTGAAGGAAAGAGAGTGTGAATGTATTGGATCTTGCAAGCCTAAAAAAGAATATTTGGATCCCTCTACCAAACAAGGGCTATGTATTATACAGAGTAATCGTGTGGTGGGAGATACTTGCAAGCCAGAGATCCGTAGGCGAGGGAATCTGCTACTCCCTGTATCTAGGCTGAATGTAAAATCCCCTATGTTGTATCAATTGGGCTAAGAACTATTTTTATTTGCCTATGATATACTTGGTTTCTAATAAAGTGTCCTAGACTCCAGTGAGAATGATCTACTTTTAATTGCCATTTCCTCCCTTTCTTCATTTGGCTGATAGACTTTTGGCTAGCTTTCCATAGATCATTGCTTCTCCTTGAAGAATCTCACTTCTTTAAATATGTTCACTTGGGCATGATCTTAAAAAGCCTCGATCAAGACTACATCTAATATGCAACCTGTATCAGCTCCTGTTCCATCTGGATGTCTAGAACTGTCAGAAGATTTTGACATCTTAAACACTGAGTTTTGCTTTTGAAAGAAGGTTCAAAATGTTCATTGCATTTAAGATCTGTATGTATTTGCTCTGTAAACCCAGCTCCAGGTGTTGGGAAAATGCCTGTACTGTGAAACCCTGCCATTGTCAGAAGTAGAATCACTTCTTGTCAGCCTCCAGAAAATTGTATACAGAGTTGAGATTTAACTGCAAGAATTCCAATTTCTAAATGTCATTGTTTTTTAAATGCTAATGTTTGTAAAGCACCTCCAATTCTTTGAATGAAAGGTGCTACATTCCCTCAGTGTCAATTAATAAAAAGATTGTAGGAAGTTTGTGAAAAAATAGTTTTATCTAATACAGTCTATAGTATTCCCTGAGAAAAAAGTAGCATTTCATATAATTTGTTTTCAAAGAAATGCTTATTCTTTCACTTGGTTGTGTGACTGATAAACAAAACTAACCTTTCTTTTTCCCTGCATTTGCCTATGAGCTAAGTTCCAGCTCCTTAAAAGCACTATTACAGCCTAGATTCTGTGCTCAGAACCATGCTTCATGAGGTCATCACAGCTCTTTCAATTGTGTATTTATAGTGTGGTAATGATAATGAAAGATGTGGTAATCAAAACCAAAAAGAAACATTTGAAAAGTCCCCTAGAGGGTTGGGGATTTAGCTTAGTGGTAGAGCGCTTGCCTAGCAAGTACAAGGCCCTGGGTTCGGTCCTCAGCTCTGAAAAAAAGAAAGAAAAGTCCCCTAGAATGATGCAAGTTTCCTTATCACATGAACATGTACCTTTCTTTCTTTCTTTTTTTTTTAAGAAAAGCCCTTTACAGTCCAGGTCTTTTATTTCCTTTTTTTTGTACATTAGGCCATGAATTCATATGGAATGGGCTCCAGCAGCTCAGGCTCCTTCCCGTTAGTCCTCACAAAGTGTGCTGCTCTGGGTGGGGCGGGCTGGTGCTTCAGCTGAACCCAGGTGCCCTTCTCCTTGGCTTCCTTTTTCTTCTGGTCGTTCTCCTTCACCCGCTTCAGGAAGCTGTCTCGGCTCTTAGAGTGCTTGATGTGCTCAATCCACACATTAATTCTCTTGGCAAGAATCTTACCCTTAACTTGCTTGTTTACAATGATGCCCACGGAATGCTGGGTGACACTGTAGACTCTTCCAGTTTTGCCATGGTAACACTTATGAGGCATTCCTTTTTGAACAGTGCCCATTCCCTTGATGTCTACAATACCACCTTTCTTGTAGATTCGCATGTAAGTAGCCAAAGGAACAACTCCATGTTTCCTAAAAGGCCTGGAGAACATATAGCGGGTCCCCCTCCTCTTTCCCTTTGTGTTCGTCATTTTGGCGAGTTACTGGAAGATGGCTGCCACGGCCAAAAGGACACATGTACCTTTCTTATAACAATAAATTTATGCTTAGATTATTAACATGGTTCCTAATTCAACAATGTATGAAGTTTATACAAAAATATTTATTGCATAGTATATGCCACTCTGAATAAATGGGAGTGGATTTTTTTTTTTTAGTCTATAATCAAGCATTTTAGGTAAATGCTAACCATGCCCTATTTTGCAGTGCTAAGGAATGAACCCAGCACCATATGCATGCTAGGTAAGCAGTCCACCACTAAGCTACATTCCCAGCCCACACACGTCCTATTTTGTGAGCCTTTGTTTTTCCCCTGGGGGTGGGGGACACTGGTTGTTTTGAGACAGGTTCTCACCATGTAGACCACTGGCCTTGCAGAGATCTACCTGGCTCTGCCCCGCAAGTGCTGAGATTAAAGACATACATCACCATACCCAACCTGTATCTTGTGGTACTCTTGGTATGGGTGGGTCTCTGCCTAAGTTGCTCTTACCCCCATCCCCACCCACCCCAGATGAGGAAATGGGATTGGAAAGGACAGATAACCTGTCCAGGTCACAAAAGAACTGGAAATTGAACCCCTGGAGGGCACAGCACAGTAACTGCTGAAGCCTTCTATTTTAAGCACTCTTGGGTTTTGCAGCTTTGTGACCCTGAACAAGTTAAGTTCTCTGATCTTTCTGCTCTAAAAGGAATATAGTGAAGTTGGTCATAATATTTAAAATGGCACCCACAAAATGCCCAGTACTTGGCCCAAAGCTCAAGTCTATTTACTAAAAACTCAACTAAAATCAGTGTGATTAGGAAGAGGAACTCGGTGAAACATGGTTACTGACAGTGTAGCATTTTAAAAAGAAGAATTTATTTGTTCTGTGTGTGATTGTTTTTGCCTGCATTTATGTATGTGCAAAGTTCAGATCCCCCTGGAACCAGGTTTAGGTATGATTGTGAGCCACCATGTTCATGCTAGGAACTGAACCCAGGTCCTCTGCAAGTACAAGTGCTCTTAACCACTGAGCCGTCAATCCAGCCCCACAGTGTAGCCTTTTAAGTTCAAGGATTTGGAAAAAGTGTTTGATGCAGGAGACATGAAATAATGGGCTGGGTAATGGAATGTGCATGTTTTATACAAGAGCCCAGCTGAGATGATAGAACATGGACACAACATGAAGGGTACATTTTAAGAAGGCCCAGCAATTAGCTGCAGTTCTGTTGACAGACTGTCTATGCATCAGAGAGGACTGACCAATCATGGAAAATGTTGGATAGTAGGAGGAGGATTCTAGGCAGTAAGAATGTCATAAGTGATAATTTCAAGATTAGAACGTGCCCTCTCCACCCAAAAATCCTTGATTTCTTTTTTGCTGGATTGATAATGTAAATAGAAATAAAATTGGAAAAATTTATGGCTCTAGAATTACATCATTTAGGGGAAACAACAGACATTTGATAATATTTTCTCTAGTCAAAGTCATTTTTAAAAATCCCATAACAGAGCTGGAGAAATGGCTCAGTAGTTAAGAGGACAAACTGCTCTTTCAGAGAAGCCTGGGGTTCAATTCCCAGCACCCACATGGTAAGTCACAATCTGCAACTCCCATCTCAGGATCCTACATTGGCACCAGACTGTGTTGTGCACAAACATACAAGGAGGCAAAACACCGGTACACATAAATACAACTTTAAAATTCCTTTAACACCTGGAAATGCAATTGTGGGGGAGCACATATTGGGGATCCTAGGCTACATCCTCAGCAGTGGGACAGCAAGGTTGCTCAGTAGGTAAAGGTGTTTGCCACCAAGCCTGATGGCCTGAGTTTGATCCCCAGAACCCACATGATGAAAGGAGAGAACAACTGACTCCCTCAAGTTGACTTCTGGCCCCCTACAGGTCCCCACATGACTCAACACCCTCCCTCCCTCCTCTTCCTTCCTCCTTCCCTCCACCTCCCTCTCTTAAATGTAATAAGAGCTCTTCAGCAATGCAAAAAATAAAATCCCACTACAATTTACTGCATCCCATTATTTCATAAAAGGAAAGCCATTTTAGCATAAATGAACCATTTAGGAATAAGAATACATTTTCTGTGAACAATTAGCATCTCACTATTTGGGATCCTATCCATTTATGGAGATTTGTGGGATATTTGTCCTCATGCATTTTGATTTGCTATCATGTGCTGTGTGTGCAGGTGTGTGTCATGTGCACATGGAAGTTAGAGTCTGACAGTCTGTTCCTCTGTGGGCTCCAGGATTAAACTCATAATGTCAGGCTTGAACAGCAAGCACCTGTTACTCTGCTGAGCCATATCTCTGCCACTGCGTTGTTGGTGTGTTTTAACAAAATGTGCTCTAATAAAATGAAAGTGGCTCAAGAGAAAGTTTTATGCCTTCTCCCAAATCTAGCAGGGAGAAATGAACTTAGGATCTACCAGACAACTTTGCATAGGAATAAAGATGTACAGAGTTATTACTCATCTTAAGAATTGTATTCTTTGCCAGGCATGGTAGCTCACACTACAGAGGCGGATCTCTTTGAGTTCGAGGCCAGCCTGGTGTACAAAGTGAGTTCCGGGACAAACAGGGCTACACAGAGCCCTGTCTCGAAACCCACCCCCCACCCCCAAAAATTTTATTCTTCAGATGTAATACATATACATCTGCTATATTTTCAAAGATAGCTTCGTTAGAGTAGAATAGGTTACTAATGTTTATTGTACTTACATGGTGGTAGTTTTTGCATGCTTGAGTCTGTCAAAATGCAGTGAATTTTATACTAAAACTGATTAACTGATGTAGATTTTCGAATTATCAGCAATGGCACAAAATGGCTAGCTTATACAAGAAGCAGTTCTTTTTAGGCTTTTCAAAATGGAATATATTTCTTACAGTTATTGTAATTGGTTCTTTTTGCAATGCTGTTTCTTTTTTCGTGATAATTAAAGAAATTCTTGTGCTTTCTTACAAGCTTCCACCCAAGCTTACGATCTTTCCTGCAGTACATACTTTATATTGCTGAATCTTTACAATTTGGTATTGAGACCTCTTTGAAGGGCAGCATTGAGCCGAGAATATTTTTTCAAGATGTTGGCAGGAACTGCATTCGAGGTGATTCAGGACGACGCTATGCCCTCGAACTTCTGGATGTATTTGGAGAAAGTGCAGTGCTTGATTTGGGTTCTGGGCAGTGCGGAGGCGGGGGGGGGGGGGGGGGGGGGGGGATTAGCAGGTGTCTAGGATGCAGGATGCAAAGCCAAAGAACCAGGAGGCTGGTGTCTGGCGCCAGAGATGCAATTCCTCCTTTCTGGCGCACGGTGGCGCGCAGGCTCCTACCGCTCTGCTAGCAGTCTTTAAGGCACCTCTGCTGCCACCTGCAGTCTCAACCAAACCTCGGGTTGGGCCGCGCGAGATGTGAAGGCCCGAGTACCCAATCGGCGGTCAGACTTTCCGGCACTCTGCAGTTTCAGCCAATAGAAGCCGAGAAGAGGCGCGGAGGGGGCAAGCCCCGCGGCTAGCCTGGCCGAGGCGCGAGGCCCTCCTCCTGTCTCTCCGCCTACTCCAACCTCCGCCGCCTCAGCATCCCGAGCGAGCCTTGCGGCCGCCGGAACAGCTCCCGCGGCGGAGCAGGAGCCGGATGGTCAGAGGAGCCCGGCAGTCCCAGCAGCCGCGGAGTCGCCTGGCCCCCAGGTAGGGCGGGCTGCGGTGCCAGGCGGAGGCTTGGGGCTGGGGGCCGAGGGAGCAGGCCCTGGGGAGCGGCCGAAGTGTCGGGACTCCGAGCCCTAAGGGGCGGGGGGTGCAGACATGCAGCATCGGGGGGCGCCGAGAGCGAGCATCTCATCCGGGTGGAGAGCGCGGATGCGCAGGGCCTGAGCGGAAGGCGCACGCCTCATCGGCGGCCTAGGAATGCGGGGGTACCAGGGCTGAGGGGCGGGGCTGCGGCCGAGGGGAGCTGGGGGACCCTGTAGCTCCGGGAAGACAATGAGGCCGACGGGGCGGGTGGTTTGGGGGAGCTGAGCATTGGGGCGCGGAACCGAGGGCATTCGAGGACCAGTGAGTCCCGGGAACGCTTGGTCGTGGGAGAGAAGGGAAGCCCGACTTGACGGGTTTGTAAGGTCAGAGGTAGGCACGGCCAACCTGTGGTCAGCCTATGGCCCCAAAAGGTGGTACATGGAGTGCCCCACAGGCAGGGAGAGGCAGAGGGGTGTGTTCTCTTTTAGTTACAGGTCTCATTTGTTTGGTCTGTAGACTGACTGGCACAGTGGAGAAACCACCTCGAAAAAGGAAAAGCAGGTAAGGCCAATGCCTTCCTCTCTAGCTTCGTGTTTTTCTGTTTGCTTGACTGCCCCTGTCCTGCATAATTACATGGTCAGTAGATGAAGTTTCTTATTTAAGTCTTTTTTAGTGAATGTAACTGCATGGAAGATATTCCTTTTGAGAACTTCAACACACACACATGCACACACCCCTTGAGGTATATGATGCGGGAAACATGGCAAGTTAAGAAGCCTGGCTTTCGACTTTAGTCATAATTTCAACTTCTCATTGAACAGCTGCTGTGTGCCAAGTGTTGTGTATAAATTTTCTGTGTATTAGTTCCTTGAGGCACAGTTTTGCAGAAGAGGGAACTGAACCATAGAGTGGCCAAATACTTTGCCAAGATCACACATCTAATAAATGATAGAACCAGGATTTGAATCCAGGCTGTCTGACTGCAGAGCTTATGCTCTTAACCATTATACTGTAATGCTTCTAATAAATACACAGTTGAAAGTAATTTTTTTCCTGGCTTTTTTAAAAATAAAGTCTAATAAACTTAAATGAGTAATAGGAAAATAGTAGCTAAGGACTTACATAGGCCACAGACAACTGAATTATTCCTTGAACCATGAAAAGAGTGTTTCCACAAATATGTTTTAGTGTGTTTTATGTGTTAAGTACTACAGCACAATTTTATTTAGTTATTTGCAGATTTCCTTTTTTACCTATCTTGGTATTGGAATTGAGAAAGGAAGCTATACAGTAATGAGGATCAGGCCAGTGGCACTGTTGTCCATAATTAATACTTTGGAGGTTGTCTGTTAATATCCAGATATCCTCAACATTAAGTATATACAAATGCCAATGGTTGGAGTAGGCAGTAGCCAAATACCTTTGTTACTTTGTAGGCCTAAATGTCCATTGTCATAGTCACATAGAGCTACTGACCACCCACAGGCTGGATAGCGTAACTGAGGAACTGGATTTTTTTGTAGGTGGGTATGTGTTTTTGTGTATGCAGGTGCATGTGTGTATATTCTTGTAAATGCACATGTATGTGTGTCCATGTGGAGCCCAAAGGTCTGCTTTTGTTGTTCCTCGTGAGTCACATACCTTGTTTCTGGAGGCAGGCTCTCTCACTGGGACCTGGAGCTCACCATTTGGCTAAGCTGGCTATTTAACCAACAAGTCCCTGGATCTATCTGCCTGTGTTTAACCCTGTACTGTCACTTTTTTTCTTAATTTTTGGTCTTTTTGTTTTTCAAGACATGGTTTCTCTTTAACCCTGGCTGTTCTAGAACTCACTCACCCTGTCGACCAGGTTGGCTTTGAATTCAGCTGCCTGTCTGTGCCGCTATACCCAGCCAGTACTGTGAATTTTTAATGTAATTTAAAAATTTTTACATGTATTTTTTCATTTTATATGTATATATGAGTGTGGACATTGCATATGGAGGTCAGAAAATAATTTACAGCAGTCAGTTCTCTTTGTATACCATGTGGGTCCCTGGGAAGAAACTCAGGTCATCTACTTGGCTTCAGGAATCTTTTACCTGCTAAGCATCTTCCTGGCTCTTTATTTTAAATTTACAAGTTCATAATTCACTGAAAAACATTTAAGTATGTCTCAAGAATTCTTGGGTATGTAAATCTATTCTTTCATCTGTAAATTTTAGGAAGTCTAAATATTTACCAAACCTGCTAATTAAAATTTAATGTTCAAATGAGACAAGTATAAAATTAGATTTAAATTAGCACAAAAAAATCTGAATGTGAAATTTCACATTTTTTAATGATTATATGGTAGAATAATAAGATGTATTGGAGTAAATAAAATTTTGCATTTATTTAGTGTGTGTGTGTGCATGCATGCATATATGTGTATGCACAAGTATGGAGATCAGGGAACAGTTTGCAAGAGACAGTTCTTTCATCTTGTAGTTCCCAAGGATTTAACTCAGGTTGTTAGGCATTATGACAAGTGTCTTTATCCACAAATTATGTTGCTGGACCAAATTATGTAATTTTTGCTATTACTAAAAGTATTTTCATAGCAGGCTTAGTTACTGCTTAGCCTATTGCTTCTTTGTAGACTATGCCATAAACTAGGCTTCCTGTGGTCTGAAGTGTGAATCTATTTATTCGCCCGCGCGCGGCCCCCCCCCCCCCCCCCCCCCCCCCCCCGTCCTACCAACAGTAGTGGTAAGTCTACTACATTTATGTGTACATACATAGATACATGTACACATGTACACAAACTTTTATTTTTAACTTTTTCTAATGGTGGTAACTAGAAAATAAAAATATTACGAAGTTGTATTATTTATTTTTTTTTTTGGTTTTTTTTTTTTTTTTCGAGACAGGGTTTCTCTGTGTAGCTTTGCGCCTTTCCTGGAACTCGCTTTGGAGACCAGGCTGGCCTCGAACTCACAGAGATCCGCCTGGCTCTGCCTCCCGAGTGCTGGGATTAAAGGCGTGCGCCACCACCGCCCGGCGTATTATTTATTTTTTATGATAGCCCTAGCTTATTTCTCATTATCCACTGCCAGACTCTTACAATAGCCTCCTAACTGGTTTCCTGGCTTCTAATCTTTAATTTATTCGCTATACTGTGCAAGTTGATTGTGTATTTCTTGTGTAGAAACCTCATGTGTTTCCTCTTTGCTCTTGAACATAATTCAGAGTTTTTAGCTTAAGTGTAGCAGCTGAGGACTGCCTCTTTTTCACTTCTACCTGCTTTTCCAGCCACTGTTAGTGCTGTAGCCATAGAATTCTCTGATGGACCTAATACCTGGTAAGCCAAGATAAGTGAATTGTTGAATGTATCTTCTGTTTGCCATTTCCAGAACTTTTCTTCTCTCCTCTTTAATTTTTGTACATTATTCTTTCTTTCTGGATACTTTCACTCTGTTCTTTTCTTTAAAACTTACTGCATAAAGGGGCTGGAGCAATGGCTCAATGGTTAAGAACACTGACTGCTCTTCTAGAGGTTCTGAGTTCAATTCCCAGCAACCACATGATGGTTCACATCCACCTGTAATGAGATCTGGTGCCCTCTTCTGGCCTGCAGGGGACACATGCAGGCAGAATACTGTATACATAATAAATAAATAAATCTTAATAAAATAAAATAAAAAAATAATCTTTAAAAAAAACATACTGCATACATCACATTCTTGGTGGGGGCTTTGTCCATCCTCTTTTTCTTCCCTATACTGTCCTCTTTAGCTCGCATAATATCCTATACATATATACATGTGATGACTTTGGCTGACTGTGAATCCACCTCTTGTCACATGCATGTGAGCTCATAAACTGTGTGGCTAAGATAATGTACAAGAGTGTTCACTCAGTAAATATTTCCCAATCCATCTCCTGTGTCTGGTACTGCACAGTTCTGTGTATTGTATGAAGATCCTTTCCTGCATATGTTGTCTTCCTTGTCATGCATGAGGTCTTGAGCTAAATCATCAGTACCAGTAGGGGCTGGAGGGGAGTCCTTTCTGAGCCTTGGGGGTAGGAGGAGCAAACTAGAAAATTAGTTCAACGATCTCAGGGTTACAAAGTCCCTGGTATAGTGCTTGGCACAGAAATTTCTAGACACAGTAAATTCCAAGTAAAAAAGAACTTATGAAAACCATGTACCATATTTGTGCACCAGTGCACTTAACCACTGAGTCATCTCTCCAGCCCACCTGTCCTCATTTTTTAATTCTTTCAGAATTTTGAATAATGCACTTTGATCATATTCAGCCCTTCTCACTCTTCCCAGATCCATCCCTCTTTCCCAGACCACCCAACTTTGTGTGTACATACCTATCTGTATTTTCCCCCCAAGTGCAGTTTTTGTTGCCGTATACTCTTAGATATGTGGCCTTCACTGGAGGATGGTCTACCCACCAGAAGCTACAACCTTAGAACTGACTATTGCTCTCACAGCTGCTATCAACTGCCAGTAGCTCTTTAGGCAGGAGTAGGACTTTGTGTCTATCTACCTTTTCAAAGCTGGAATTTTGTCTGGCAGGTCTTGTGCATGCTGTTGTAACTGCTATGAATGCATATGTCAACTGCCTTCCACCCAAGGCAAAAGGGGGTAGCAGGTCCATGGCAAAAGGGGTAGCAGAAAGACAGTAAGAGCCATAGTAATAGATGACTACAAGGAAACTTTTCTGGATACAGCAGGGCAGTTCTCAATTTTTTAAAAGTAATGTTTATTTTTATGTGTATGGGTGTTTGCCTGCATGTATGTATGTGTACACCTGTGGGCCTAGAACCAGAGGAGGTCAGAAGAGTTTGTTGGATCCCCTTGAACTGGAGTTACAGATGGTTATGAGCCACCATATGGGTTCTTGGAATGGAACCTGAGTCCTCTGCAAAAGCAGTAAGTGTTCTTACCCACTGAGTCATCTCTATAGCCTTATCCCACTCCTTTTTAAGACATATATAGCTGAGAGGATTACAAATCAATTAAGTCAAAGAAGATTTTTTTGTTTGTTTGTTTGTTTTTTGGTTTTGTTTTTTGTTTTTTGTTTTTTTTGGTTTTTCGAGACAGGGTTTCTCTGTGTAGCTTTGCGCCTCTCCTGGAACTCACTTAGTAGCCCAGGCTGGCCTCGAACTCACAGAGATCCGCCTGTCTCTGCCTCCCGAGTGCTGGAATTAAAGGCGTGCGCCACCACCGCCCGGCTCAAAGAAGATTTTGAGGGAAAAAAAGATTAAAATCAAACCTACTTTAGCTCTAGTTTGGCTCTGCATTTTCTCGAGTAAAGTGAAGAAATGAGTAAAATTAATACTCCACATCAGTGTTGTCTAACATTAAATATAAATTGCTCAAGAGAAGCACAAACTTTTTTTTTTGACTGTAAGACCTAAGATGGATGGATTTCTCTAGCTGGTTTATATACTAGGATATTGACTATTCATGAAAGGAGGGAAAAGTCAATATATATCAATGTTTCCTTTTTTTTTTTTTAATATATGGCTTTAGGGATTAAGCCTAGGACCTTGTGCATGCTAGGTCAGCACTGTATGACTGA